TATTACTTTTTATTTTTTAAAAACCTTTAACCGGTACCCTAAAAATACAAATTAAAATAACCATGTGTTTATTAATTTTTTTATCTACCTAGTGAGACTAGTGGGACCGATTTCTTTATTTTTTTTGGTTATGTATTATTCTTTTTGACTTTACCACCTAAATTAACGGAATCTGTTAATTTTCTGTTAAAATTGGAATAAAATAGTTATAGGATTAATCATTAAAAATTAAAAATGTAACAATTTAATTATAAACGTTCAAAAATTATAAAAATTAGTAAATTAAAAAGAATTAATAGATGACTTTTTCACATATACTTAAATAGTATTAGATATTTATAATCAAATCGAGCTATTAGCTTAATTTGGAGGAAGAATTTTGATTGAAATTAAGGAAAATTTCTTAACTGAATTAAGATAAAAAATTTAAGAGACTAGAAAAATATAGCCAAGAAATTTTTTTAATCTTAATTAAATTGAGTTAATCACTCAATCTAATTGTAGATATCTAACATTGTTCTCATATATGTGATAAAGTCAGTTACTAATTATTTTTAAGTTTTTAATTTTTTTATTTTTTAAAGTTTTGGAATTAAATTGTTACATTTTTAATTTTTGATAGTTGGTCTTATAAATATATTTTTTTAATAAAGAGTTAACAAATTCTTGTAGTGAATAAAAAATTAATTAATAGAAGTTAACTTGTGCTATAGATCTCAGGGTTAGTCCAATCCAAATAATTTTCTATTGTATTGCTTTAATTAGTGACGAAGGAAAAATGCTCAAGTCTAGATGTTAAACGGTTTTGTGAAAATTAATAAACAAAAGGTTATTCTAATTTGTATTTTAAAAGTTATTTTAATTTATATCTTTAAGGTACTGGTTAAAAATTTTTAAAAACTAAAAAGTAATATTTAATTTATCAATTATCTAATTAAATTTATTTATGTGACAATAACACTAAAATTAATGTTACTTTTATATTTTCTTATACAAATTTATTAAAAAAAATATCATTAATATGTGTTCCTAAAAAAATTCATCAATAAAAATTAAATATTTGACCGTTAAACAATTAGCAATCAAAATTAACACCAAATTAAATAACATCCAATTAAGGATGACATTGAACAAAAAAAGGATAGTAAAGGGATAACATTTATGGTGCAAGAAAAATAGAGGGATGACATTGAACATTTCCTTAGTAGAGGGATGGTAATGAACATTTTCACAAAGTAAGACTACAATTGGCTTTAACCCAAAAAAAATTCAAAGTCATCACAGTAGGTAGCATGTATAATTAATATACTATAAATAGTTCCTGACGTAAAAAAAAAAAAAAGGGATGCTTCCTTTGATCAAAAAAAAAAAAGAGATTCTTTCCTAAAGGGTAAATATAACTCGAAAAATTTCTTCAAGCATCACTCTAAATGTTTGACCCATTCCTTTCTCCAATCTACAGTTAGTCCAACAAAAATCTCCCTTTCATCAGGTGACTTAAATTTAGCTGTTGCTTTCATTACGATAGGATACGGTATGTCTCCCATGGTTTTTAAAATACGAAGGCATTCAGTAATGGAGTAAGGATCAATGACCTGATCAGCTCTGACATCATAACACGCAAACTTAGGAACCTTGCCAGAACAACGTTCACTTGGAGCTGAATGAGCCGCACGCTTCTTTTTCTTACTAGAATCATTTTCATCCTCCGAGTCACAACCATCCAACTTACCAGCTGAAATTTCGTTTTCTAAGTGCCTTCCTTCATCTGAAGGAGTTGGATCTTGTGTTGGCTTCACATGATGTTCGTCCCCCTCTTTTATGAACTTTGTCGAATCCTGCAGTTGCTAGACACAAAAAGGTAGATTAGACACATGAAAGTAAAATATGTGCATAATTTAGAAAAAAAAAAAAAAATCTATATATACCATGAAGAGGAAAAGGCATATATTTATACTAGTTATCTAGGCTGTAAACTCACCAGCAATGCCAAAAACAAAGGGGAAAGCACATAAAAAGAAATTCTTGTAACATAGAAAGCTACTCAGAACGTCTAGAGCTTTTGAGTAACTACACCAGCAATGCCAAAACAAAGGAGAGAGCAAATAAAAAGGTTCCTTCCCACTGAAATGTCTTGCCAAAGTCACAGCCTATCCTCTCCAAATTCTTGTATCCTCTTTTTTCCTCTTTTATGTGGCCATAATCATATATTGTCCTTGGATAAGGCACACATCAAAATGGAACCCTAGATCTAATTCCCCACAAAGAACAGTCAGAACACCACCATTGCATCTAGATGTCCTGGTTAAGCAAATTCTAGAAGTACTGAAGTCAGTTTAAAACAGAGTTGGTAGAACCCCAGATTTCAATACTAGACATTAATTTAATAAATCAATCATTAAATAACATATGACATATAAGGTTGTATGGAAGTTATACATAAAAATGATTTCTAAATCATTTTCCTTTGCACTAAGACACTTGCATGATTTATGTTTAAGTGAGATTAATTATCTTCCTATTGTTTCTATCCTTACTTTCGAAATAACAGCACATCTCAACAATAGTTAAGAGCACTCCATCAAATCTGCCACATCCCTTGAGTTTTAGGGGAATATGGCACAATCCAAAAACTAAAACCTTCTTTTATCCCAAAAAACAAAAAAAAAAAAACCTAAAACCTTTCAATGCATGCTTCAGATCTGCCCAACCTAGCAAAGTAACCGCAACCACCAACCATCATTGCAGCCCCTCTTCCAGCCACTCCACCTCCATTGCAACCACTAGAGAACAAGCCAAACGCCAATCTCACATTAGTATCAGTCAAGCAGCACCCATGTGCCACCTCCATCACTAAGAAACTCCCCAACCCCCCTAGTGGCCCCTTGCCCCTGCCATCTAGCATGGACTTCTCAATTGTCATGGCCTACTCCATTGTTGGCATGAAGAATTGCTTCCAAAGAAGACATGCCCCACAACATCCTAGAGTTTCAACCCCTCCCTTCTTCCAAACATCATCTCCAAACCCCACAACATCAAAGCATTGCCTTCCACCACTGAAAGGCACATCTGGCTCCCCCTAGCCACAAGTGGGTCCTCCAGCCCAAGGTTTTTAAAACCGGACCGGACCGGCCGGTTGAACCGGTCAAACCGGAAACCGGACCTGAAAACGGTTCAATGACCGGTCCGGTTTTGAAAACATTGCTCCAGCCCCTCCTATCAAGACTCCAAGCATCCAACCTCCATGGTCCTCAAAGCAAAAGCAACAAGGAAAGCACGAAAACAAAAACAAAACAAGAAAGAAAGAAAGGAAAGGATCCTAACAGAAATTCAAGCCCAAATGACAGACACTTCATGTTTCCAATTGCCAGCAGCACAAAAAGGCTCTTAGTAGAGGGAAGCAAAAATCTAACCCTAGGGAAGAAAAAACCCCTAATGATCAAAATGTTTGGTTCATTTAAACTTGTAGTCCATTTTTAAACCTCATTAGAATGGACAGAATTTAAATGACCAACCACAATAATTGGACAACAAATCCCAAATACACCATTTGAGGGGAGGGGAGGGGAGGATAGGGTAGGGGAGGGAAGAGGAAATTATTTGAACCAATCAAATTATTTTTAGTTTAACAACTTCATTTAATTAGTTGAAATAATCTCCTTTGCTCCCCCTCAAACTATTACAGACTCTAAATTTCAAATTAAAAACACATAAAATATATTCCATTAATTTCCTTTCTGCTTAATTACAAAACATCTTCATTGAAAAAGAAGAAAAAAAACCATTTTCACTTTCGAATGCCAAACACATTTTTCTTTTATGGTATGTTTGGTTTGAGGGAAACAGAGGGAAGGGTAGGGGAGGGAAAGATTTTTTAACCAATTAAATTGCAATATTTAAAAAAGTTATAATTTGATTGATTAAAAAACTCATCCCTCCCCGCTTTTTCCGCTTTTCACATAAAAAAACAACAGAAAACATACTTATACTTCCCCTACTACAACCAAACACACTTATACTTTCCCTATTGATGCAAAACTGTAAAGGAACACTGAACATACACTTCAAACGTTCAGGGTCATTGTATATTTTGACATCATTCAGATGTCCTGGTTAAGCAAATTCTAGAAAAGTACTGAAGGCAGTTTATACCATAGCGTTCCCTTTTTCTTTTTCTTTTTCTTTTTCTTTTTTTTTTTTTTGGAGAAGAAGTGCTTCTGATTTAGATAATCATATAAACAAGTATTAATTACCAATACACACACATGATTTAAGTTTAAATGCGATTGTATATAATCAAAACAAGTATTAATAAGAAAAATTAAAGAAAATAAAGGTACCCCAGAGAGACTTACTAATAGCTCTCCCAGATGTTGCCTAGCAGCACTTTGCATCTCATTGTTGGACTTCAGTTTGGCATAATCCCTTTTCAGCTGATCTATAATTTCTGCTTGAAATTGCACAATTTTTTCCATTGAGGCATCTTCAAGTTTCAAGCTTTCATTCTCTTTACTTAAATTTTCATTCTCAACATAAAGCCTGCCTAAGTTGTTTTGCATTTGTATTTTTCCTAGCTGAAAAGATGGACAGAAATACAGAACAGAGTAAAAAGCATAGAACCAAAAATGCAGGCAAAATATTAAGTTTTGGCAGGAGTTCAAATAAACCCAAGACATATGAGTCTAAGACTGTACCTTAAACTCAAAATATTAGTCTATGAGGCTCACTATTTTTTATTAATGTGGGATTTATTCACAACTCAACCACTCATGTCAACTCAATAATTCCCCCAACCCTCCGCCCCCCCAATAGGCAATTTGTTATTTATGAGTGTAACAATATGATTAACTCAATGGTCTATTGCATACTCTTCCATGAGCTGAGGGCTGAACTCATGGGATTCACAACTCAATCATAGTATAAAGGACTGATCACCATCAGCACGAGCAAGGGCTTAATATGTGAAGAAATCATATTGAAACCAAAATACTAACCTGTTTGATTCATAGATCTCCACATATATAAACCACTTGCTTAATTTCACTTTATTTTTGAGACGTGAGCTTCATTTACTACACCACCCGTGAGATAACTCAACATATATAAGAAAATGAGAAATATCATTAGAAAGGAGATACACAGTGTTACCCTCTGTCTTTCTCTGTATGCTCTGTCAGCTTCTCTTTTCTTCAGATTCACAGTCTTCTCTGGAGTCATTTCCGGGGTACCAGTTCTTGAAACATTGAAATTGTTTAGATGTTGATCACGCAAAACTCCACTACTCGTTCCAATTGGTTGACCATATTGCTGGTTATTAAATTGCGTTTCCATCATGGTTTGAATCGGTAGTAGCATTTCCAAGTCCGATAATAGATCACCTGCAAAAAGTTGAGAAATTCACAGTACAAATGATCAAATCATGTTAAAAAAAATTAGATTTCTCACTCAATTGAGCTAATTCTTATCATGTAATTTGTTCAAATCTTTTATTTTCTTCTTAGTGTTCAATCATTAGCTTCAGGCATGAAAAAATGCATTAAAAAAAAAACCCAAAAACAATTCCTTTACATAAACAACATCAGGGGGAAGACCACAACAATAAAATCATTGATTATTTCAATTACTTCTTCCCAAACACAAATGATGAATAAATATAATTTTCTAATTAATTTGATTTCTCTATACCGAAACAACCCCACGGAACCGTGAGGTGATTATCGTGTCGGACGTTTTTGTGGCTTTCGATCGCCTTTTAGTGGAAAAAGCTTGAAGAAATTATAATGGCAATGAAAGACTTACTGCTTGTTAAAGGGAACGGAGAATTAAGATCTGGCGGGGAATTCATCCCCTCTTCACTTCCTGCGAAGAAATCCAGTTGTGCTGATTTCGCCATGAGCCCTAGCAAGCTGTCGCTAAGAGTCCCCGATCCAGTTGCAGCAAAGCGAACACCAAAATCTGGTGGAGAAGATCAATAAAGGAAGCGAGTATATGCGTCTAGGTAGGCCGGCAGGCTGAAGCGGTTAGAAAACTTGGGAAGCAGCAAGAGATCGCAAGGACCCGTTCGATGTCGTCCGCTGACTCCGCCCTCAAATCGACTCCAGGTTTTGTAGATGCAAACTATTACTTTATTAAATAAAATATAATTAAAAAAAAAACAAATATATTAAAAAATATTTATTAT